TATTATTATGTGCATTTGTAATAAATTTTAATCATTTAATAAAAAATAATTAATTGTTAGTACTATTTCGACTTTGTAATAACATGATATTGTGATTCAAGACGTATTACACTCTTTTTTAATATCAGGATTTAATATTTTTTTAGTTGTATTTATATTAATTGTATTACAATTTTTAAATTTATTAATGAATTCAATATTTTTGTTAATTAAACACAATTGTTTATTTAATAATTTATGTAATACTAAATAAATAAATAATTGTTGAGATAAGTAAATTGTTAAGAATATAAAAAATGAAGAAAATGGTTAAACACTATTCATTTAGTGCAATTTTTGGTGTAATGGGTTGGGGATGATAACTCTTTTCAATTGAGTAATGTTATTCATTCCTACTGATTTTACAAATACAGTTTAGGTTACTCTAAATGATAGGTTAAATAAAAGGTGAAATTAAATAACTTAATTAATTTCACATATCATTTAATGTCACATTAACGCCACCTAAACTGTATTTATAATCTCATTGGGGATTAATAGCATTACTCTTTTCAATTTGATGTAAAATGGTGCAAATTTTGGTGCAGGAATGGAAATGGCATGAGTTACCAAAAATTAATTAGTTGGTTGAGATACCATAATTTATATTCTACGTTGTTGTTATGATGTACTTTAGAAATGAGAATAATAAAATGAAATTTTAGTGACCGTGGATGAAAATTACCAACCTTACAAGCACCAAGGCTATCTAATTTTAGATATCAAGCTCAATTAGGTGTTGTCTCATTTCCCTCCGATTTTTTTTTTCTCTCTGTAAATTTCCTTAGCATAAAATATTATAACCAAAATCCCGGAACCCTCCTCCCCTGTGGTGAAATCACCTCTTCGACTATGGTACGATTCAAATATCTTTCCACAAACATGCATATAGACGTAGATTTGTACGAATTTTCAAAGGTAAATAGAAATTATAACGAATTAAGGAATAATTGGAGGTTTTGAGGAACTTGTGCATATGATGATTTCCCTACCTAAAATGTAGTAAATTTTGTGAATTGACTCTGTAAACATGGTGTTTCTTCGTAGAAATGCACTAT